CTATAGCCTCTGGCCCCTCACGTTCCGACCACTCACTTAACTGACACGTAACATGTTTCATACGGCGAGCAGGCTATATCGGGCAAAATACCTTCTACCGTGTGGCGATGGATGGCAAACTTGTATCTTGCATGTTATCACTAGAAAGTTTAATCCTTTGCACAATTCTCAGTGTATAATCATCTCCATCCAGTCAGTTATGTTTTATATATATATATATTTTTTCAATAACCGCTTTTCCACATTGAAGTCATCAATTTTTGTTGTTGACGTTCAATTTCGACCCTAACGTTTTTGTTCTAAATTGCAAAAAAGAACGTAGCCAGAAATTTGGCCGAGATACATTTGGCTGAACGGAAATTTAGCCGAACGGACATTTCACCGGAAAATTTCCAGTAAAAATAGTAACAAACAATACTTTAAGTATTTTAATTAGCAGTATTATAAGGTAGATGTCGTGAAGCTGACGTTAGCACTAATCAGCTTCTATACTCGTACTTCTACCTCGCTATTCCCAGTGACCACTTATATGAGTGTTCACTTATGCAAATTATGCATACTAATTTTCTAGTATCACTACAGTAGAATAGGACTAATAATTACTACTGAATTTCAAGTAATTAAATTACTAAATCTAAAGTTCAAAGTTTTCTTATTTCAATATATGTTTATTGAAATTAGTATTTTTTAAAAATATTTGAGTGTATTTGGGTAAAACGTAGCACCTAATTATTTAAATTCGTGTTTAACAGTAAGATAAAAGCTAGTTCATCCCTTTAAGATAATGATCATTAAAAGCGAAATTGAAAGATCTTTCATATCGTAAAAGCTTAAGATTTTTGCTGTAGTAAAATGTGTCTTTTTCTCAAAAGACTTATCATCTTATAGAATTATTTGAAGTAAAATATAATATATACAGAATAGGTTTTGAAAAAAGCCTGTTAAAAAAAACGAAAAATTATAAATTAATCCAGTAAATAAATATAAATATTTGTAACACATTACGATGAAGAGTGTGACATACATGCAAGTACGTCACTACATTCTCCGCTAAATGTCCATTCGGTTAAAATCGGTTGTCTGTTGGCCAAATGTCCGTCGGCCAAATGTCTGTAGGTCAAATATCTGAGTACCAAGAGAAATTATTCTATCGCTCATTTCAGATATATTTTTTCCGCAGCCATGATCAGATCTTTAAGTCTTACATTTTTATTTATTCCCTAATATGGCGTTTCACATTAAAAAATTTTCCATCACGAACCATTGCTTGTATCTAAGAGCGGGCGTGTCTATTGAAGTTCACACACCTAACAAGAAATCTTCCGCGTGTTTAGATTATTTTCAACATGCATCTTCTATGTGCCGGATCATGGCTCTCCACAACTCCCTAACTCTTGTGGTTTTTAGCAGTTTTTCTCTTTTTGATAAGGCTCCCTCCGTACCGCCGTTCCTACAAGCTTGTCAGGTAAGTGGCTCGCTATCTTCCCCCATTTCGCTTGCCCTCTATATCCCTCGCGCGTGTTAAGTTTTTCAAGACAACATTCCTCATTATGTGTCCAAGGAATTTCAGCTGCCCTTTCTTGATTCTATCTAAAAGTGTTCTTTCTGTTGATATTTACTTTAAGACTTCCTTAGTTGCTTACTCGCTATGTCTCATATATATATATATATATATATATATATATATATATATATATGTGTGTGTGTGTGATGTTAATATGGATATAGATCCGACAGTATGAAGAAAAATATACTGAAAAAAACAAACAAAAATCCTAATATGCGATTATGCTGTTGTTTAATGTCAACGTCGGACGTTTCGGTCTAATAGACCATCTTCAGGACATATTCATAAAACATAATTAACAATTATTAATAATTGTATATGGTCTATGTTAATTATGTTTTATGAATATGTCCTGAACAAGACTTATCCAAACAAATAGCTGAAAGTTATATAAGATCAGTTATTTGTTTGGATAAGTCTTGTTCTTATGTACATCGTCTTTGTAATGTTGTATTGATAATGTTATATTTATGAATATGTCCTGAAGATGGTTTATTAGACCGAAACGTCAGACGTTGACATATTAACATTAAAACAGCATAATTGTATATAAGGATTTTGTTTGTTTTTTCCGTATATATTTTTCTTCATACTGTCGGATCTATATCCATATATTTGCTTACACACACACAGGTATATATATATATATATATATATATATATATATATATATATATATATATATATATATATATATATATATATAAATTATTAAAAAATAATAATGTTTTTTATGAAAGTATTTATTTATTTATATATATATTTGATATTTCAAATTGACCTCAATCTTTCTTCATATTAAGAAAGTATACATGGCTTCTCATTATGCTATATATATATATATATATATATATATATATATATATATATATATATAAACTCCGCGATAATAACACATGAGGACTGTCGTTATGAGTTTCCGTGGCGAGGTCTTTTGCACCGTTACTTTTTATCGACAGATCCCAAATGTATGGATGGTCCGACACAAGCCTTTCACCACTTGAAAGAAATAATTGTGTTAGTTTTCTGACAACTACATCTAATTAGTTCCACACATATCCGGCTACACCAAAAAAAAAAACTCTACGAAACAACATCAACTTCATCTTGGCACTTGGAATGTACGAACTCTCCAGGACAACAACTCAGCATCAGAAAGAAAAACAGATCTGGTTGCATTGGAGCTAAAGAAGTAGAAAATTGATATAGCTGCACTGAGAAGTAACCATTAGTCGACTATATGAAACGAGAAAGCAAAATAAGACATCTAACAGCGTTCCTGCTGCACTTGGATACAATACATTCTCCTGTAATGTTTGTGGTATTTTGTGCAATTCTCCAGCCGGCCTGAAAAGTCATGCCCGTCATAGGCATGCAGATAATTAGTTCGTGGTTGTTGGAACCTCATACGTCGAACTCGATGGGAGAGTCCATCATATATATATATATATATATATATATATATATATATATTTGTTTGAATAAAAACAAACCACTTTAAGGTTCCATGTAATAAATTATTTCACCACAGCCCTTTTAAAGGGCTCTGGATCATCAGATTTTATTTCCAAAGGTTGAAATGAAAAATGAAAAGAAATTTACACATTTTTGATAGGCCGTATTAAGCATATGTAAAATTCACGAAGTGAGGAAGTGAGGGGGGAGAGAGAAGATATAAGTGAGTTAGATGTACCATTTCAATTCTTTATCCCTAACTCCACTTGGTGTGAGACAGACATCGCTCAACTTAACGTATGTTATCTTTAGATATGGATGGGTAAGGGGTGAAGAAGAAAACCGGCATAAAAGGAAGAAGATACAATAAAATAAAGAAAAGGTTTCACTCAATTTCTTAGACGCTGTTATTTCGCATTACTTTAAAGGGTATATTTGGGGGTTAAAGTTTGATTTAAATCTAAATGTCTAAGAAATCTACGAAGAATTTAATTTAATGTTTGTTGGAGTTTGGGGTATTTTCCATGAAATAGTCGATTGGAAAAAAATCATAGAATGTACATTGAAAGAATAATTCATTATACATCAAGTAATCTTTTTTTTTTTTTCCTAAACCTTTTTCTTGTTGATTATTAAGTTGACATCTATTCGTTTCAGTTTTGTTCATAAATTAAACTCGTGACTGTTTTTAGATACCTACATAATTATCAAAGGTTTTTCGAATTTAAATAATTTTATCATCAATAATGATTATTAAAGGGTAATATATTTCAATTTAAATTAAATTATCAATTTAAACTTTACCTCCGTATTATTTAAACTCACTTCCAATTGGAGAATATTAGAGGAGAAATTTGGGTAAAACATTACTAACAGAAAATTAGGTCCTTCTTTTATAATATTCTATATCTCTATACACATCTCTACACATATCCGAACAGCTATTGTTATAAAATAAAATAAGACATATCTCGGCTGATTTACAGGCAAATACTCAAGAGCGAGAACCGGATGTGAACGGGACAAAGCCCCGTCACAAAATGACCATTATCTTTCTTTTCAAATGTTCCCACACACGTGTTCCGGTCGAAAAATAAAATAATGTTTAAAGTGCTCTATTTTTCGTCCAATAAAATGCTTCCCTCCTAATTATACTCGCTTCGTTTTTCGAGCCTGTTAAGCCATAAAAAAAACGCTATAAAACGGGTCACACGGAAGTTCAACAGGCAGTCCACAGGTGCCCAGGATAGAGACCTGTCACGTTCAGCTGCTGACAGCAGGGGAGCGCCAGCCACCGTCAACATGTGTGAACTATTATGAGAGATCGACCTAGATCCGAAGCCGGCTTATGAACTATATACCACAGGGTAGCTGTCCCAAACCCTCACGTTCCTGTTGAAATAAACCACGTAAATCTATTTCTGCTGTTGTCGTATTTCTTTCTTGCAACCATACGCTTGTCTATAACACTATCTATATCCACATACAATTCTCAGTATTCTTCTACGGAACGACGTTTCTGTTTTGTCCAGTTTTTTCCTCATCCGTGGGGAAATTACCCAGTATCCACTGTCATAAGAGAAGATGGACATTAAATACCAATCCAGCTCTTTTCTTTTTTCTTTTTTTTTACTTTATTTCTTACGGTTTTTTACCGTTTCTCGGAACCTTGCTTAGTATTTGGAATGCTTCTTTTGCTAGTAAAATGCGTACTTCGGATTTCGGTGCCGTATTAACCGTCCTCGGTTAAAACACTTCTATGATATTTACACTTCTGGACTTGCTTCATGGTGGCTCTATTTCAATATGGAAGTTAGACCACACGATTCGATTTCATTCAGATTATGCGTATATACGTTTCCGTGTGCATATATTCAGAGTCAAGTGTATGCTGAACAGGTATGTAATATCAAATGTCCTATATGGCAGTGAACTCTGAATAATTTTCTCACAGATGAAGAAGAGAATTGAAGCAACA